TAAAATAATAAAGCAACAATAAAAGAATCATAAGATAAAATAAAACATAAAAACTGACTTACACACCATATTGTTATACTGATAAGCAACTTTTAAAAGATATGTCTTCCCGCTTTTTAAAAAATTATAAATGCTGGTAGCCTCTTTTACTTCAGTTGTTAGACAATTCCAAATTTTTGGAGCATAATAGCTAAAAGAAGTGCCACCAGATCGTTTATGATTTACTGTATAATGTGTTAGAAGACTAGCACTAGAGGATCTTAAACTAAGATTCGGGACATATCTTGACAGAAAATCTGAAATGTATAGAGGTGCCAGATTGTGCAGTGTTTTATAAGCCAATAATATAACCTTAAAATCAATTCTTTGATAGACTGCCAACCAATGCAATTCCATTAAAATCCATGTAATATGCTCTCTCCTTTTTGTTTCATTAGTACTCTGGCTGCTGCATTTTGTACCAGTTGTATTTTCGTTATAGAACCGTTAGGCAAGCAAACAACTATAAAATGTAAAATAAAGCATATAGTTTGACCGCAATATCATTATAAAATAATAAAGCAACAATAAAAGAATCATAAGATAAAATAAAACATAAAAACTGACTTACACACCATATTGTTATACTGATAAGCAACTTTTAAAAGATATGTCTTCCCGCTTTTTAAAAAATTATAAATGCTGGTAGCCTCTTTTACTTCAGTTGTTAGACAATTCCAAATTTTTGGAGCATAATAGCTAAAAGAAGTGCCACCAGATCGTTTATGATTTACTGTATAATGTGTTAGAAGACTAGCACTAGAGGATCTTAAACTAAGATTCGGGACATATCTTGACAGAAAATCTGAAATGTATAGAGGTGCCAGATTGTGCAGTGTTTTATAAGCCAATAATATAACCTTAAAATCAATTCTTTGATAGACTGCCAACCAATGCAATTCCATTAAAATCCATGTAATATGCTCTCTCCTTTTTGTTTCATTAGTACTCTGGCTGCTGCATTTTGTACCAGTTGTATTTTCGTTATAGAACCGTTAGGCAAGCCACATAGCATTACAATAATCAAGATGAGAGAAGATAAAAGCATGAATGAGTTTCTTAGTATCATCCAAAGATAAAAAAGGACGAATCTTGGCAATATTTCTCTAATGATAAAAACAAGTTTTTGTCACTTGATTAATATGAGACTTAAAACTAAGGTCACAGTCCAGAATGACGCCCAGGGCCGGTTGCATGAAAGCCCTTATGCTAAGAAATCCCTTAGTTATAAGGTTAAGGGAGCCCTTAGTGAAACTTGGGTTGCAAGAAAAAACGCTAAGGGTCAACCTAAGGAACCTTAAAACTGACATTAAGTATTCCCCTTAATTATTTAAGTGTTATTTCACCTTAATAAATTTAAGGGACCAAAAGAGCTCCCTTAAGTCATCTTAAACTCAGTATCTGCAGGATTTTTAAACTCAAATGTAAGACTTAAGACATTTTTTAAGACCTGCACAAATAAAATATCATATGAGCGCAGTAGGTTAATGACTATATTGTAACATATTAAATTGTAAAATGACTGTAAAAAGCATGACTTACAGGTTTTCACAAAACAAAAAGTTTTACAGTACTTTTTAAGTAAATAATATCAATTTAAACAATTATTGTTAATTATTACATTAATTAAATAACAATATAAATATAATTTGTCTATAGTTATCTTGTCAATCCACCTGTTCACATTTACAACTCTGCGTGTTTGTGCCTCAAAACATGGGTTAATTTTCCCATTTGGTTAATTTTCCGTCATTGGTCAGCAGGAAGCACTTTCACTGCAGAAACAAAGCGGTTTCCTCGGTAATGACTGTACACAAAGCAGCACAGAAAGAGGCAGCGCTCATGCTTATTTAATGTTTGTCTGTGTTTTAGTTGGTTAGGTTTGTATTTCATTATGTTTTGTTCATTGTCATAGATATATCTGTTTATTACGGTGACCGAGAAGTGCAAAACAAATCACAATTCTGAAAACAAAATAACAAATGATTCCTTGTGGCAAAATGAAAAACGTCTGAATATATAGGCCTAGTTTATACTCAATATAGATTATATCTATCTATCTGTCTATCTGTCTATATGTCTGTCTGTCTGTCCACCTACCTATATACCTGTACTTGTCTTGCTTTTATGGTGATGAGGAAGATAAAGATTGTACTAGGCTATGTACTTTATAGTCGCCGCTTTTCAATCAGATGGTAAGGTACAGAAAAATATATATTATCGCTGTATATTTTGGAGACTTATTTTTATGCTGTCTTTTCTCGCATGCTTTAACTGGCGTTATATGCACATATTCTATCTCATAACCACGGGAGTTTGCTATTCGCGTCTGTTCTGCAGATGATAAAGTTTCACCGGTGGATTGTATGCTAACTAGACTAACGCATTACCGTGATGGGATGGAGGGTGCTCACGGGACACGAACGCTGAATCCACTATCCCACCCACTTCGACTGGGCGATTGATTGCAGAAGTGAAATCAAAAGGCGCGCGGTGGAACAACAGAGGGCGCGAGACGCAGAGCATACAGCACGCACGTGTGGTGACGCCGGTGGAATGTTAACCAGACCCGGTGCAGCAGCAGCAGGACAGCCGTGCCGAGATGTGATGCTGCTGCTCCTCCGCTCGCAACCTCCTCTACTATGACCAAACGATCTGGGTTTTAACCAGGGAAACCCTCCTACTTTAGTTTCAGATCATTTCATCCCACGAATTAAACGCATGTATGAGACTGAGAACACGAGACAGAATGTGCAGACAGAGAAGGGCTGCTCCTTTTGTTGTGTGACTGTAGTATTACGTTTAGTCAGTGCTGCATTGCGCTCGCGCATCCGCGTGGCTACGGGGCAGCCCGTGCTGGGACCGGAGAGAGAGAGTGTGTGCGATACATGCTCATTGTTCACAGGATGAGCGAAACGCACTGCCGCATTCAGACAGAGAGTAGTTCTTCGTAATTCAGAAACATAACAACAAAAGATAATAATATGAAAACGAATATTATATTTATAGCCTGATCAGAATTGCTGAAATAACGAAATGGCATTAGCTATCTAACGTAAATCCATTGTGGCAAAAGGAAAAACGTTTAGACTATCTATCTATCTATCTATCTATCTATCTATCTATCTATCTATCTATCTATCTTGCACAGTAGCCTACACTCATAATATGGTGTACACTAGAGATGTCTTGGCACTTTTACATTTCTGTTTCACAGTTGACTCTTCTATTTAACGACATCTTTTAAGGCCAAATACCTCGACCATCACAAATTGCGACCTTTTTCAGTCTCATTGTGTTCAACTTGATCACGAAAGTACGATCTAACTTGAACATATCCAATACATTTTCCATATGTATTTGTGAGGGCCATAATGAGAAGTCTTAGAAATGGCAGGTCCATTGTAAAAGGCCCCAATGACCCAAGTTATTCTCTCTGTTTCTTATGAAACAGCTTCTCACTACTGGCGACAAGACATAACCACTGCCTCAGCGCAACGCCACTCACTTGTATACAAAACAAATGTAAATAGTTGTTATGGTTGCTTGATTTCTTTTTGTGTAGCCTGCACACACTTTCACCAATTTAAATTGTATAGATTTTTACAGCTTTGTGTTTTCTTACAACCTTTTTTACTTATCTTTTTTTTTTTAAAATACACATTCTTCATATGATTTCGAATTTGAAATGTTTATTTTAAATGGGGTTTTGTAGAAAAATGCGTTTCAGTGTTAACAAGTACTGCTTTTGCTGTGTTGATGTACATCTGTCAAATGAAACTGACTCAAACGGTGTGCTCATGTAGGACATTGTTGTGAAAATTATTTTTATTAAATGAGTTGTTCTGTTTGCACAAGTGCTTCATTGGACTTGTCAAGCTGTATCCGTGTATTTTTCTCTTCTGGGGTATTTTGTTTTGTGGTCGTATGCAAACACCCCCCCCTGTATTTGCGCTTTTAGACTGGTTAAAAGGAAAGCGCGAGCTCCTTCGAGACACTCACGGTCTCCCGTTTCATCTGAACGGTCGAGTTACGTAGGGAGGGAAGTGTTGCAGTGAACGGAGGGGGAAGAGAGAGGGAGAGGTTGAGAGAGAGGGAGAGACTGCAGCATCATTTGAGGGACGTTCACATGCAGTGCAGTAGAACGTGCAGGTGAGGGGAGGAGGAGAATGCGGGACTTTTTCCTCAAACACTTCACACACATCCACTACGGACTCCGGAGGAATTACTAAAGGCTTTTGTTGCTACTTCTCTATCCTGCTCACCATCTTTCCATAAGTGGCTAATTTACGTGCTCCGAGAAGTCGAACTGAAAAGCTTTCTCTTTGTCAAGTTCACCGTAAAGGAATCTGTAAGAGCTTGGCACGAGCGCGTAAGACTGCGGGGAAAGCTTTCCAATTGTCCTCTTGCTGTGTTTTAAGGTAAGAGAACAAATAATATCGGGAAAGACTTTATCAAAAGCACTTTGGCTTATTCCCAGCCAGTAGCGCAAGCTCTGGGATGCGAATGTGAGAGCTGAATTCACAGACAGATCGCTTTTGTGTTCTACTGCATTGCAGTTTAAAACAGTGAAAGCGCGAGAGGAGCCCGCGCTCCGCAGCATCTCAATGAGCCGGACAAAGTCATTTAAACTGCTCAAATCTGACTCCCATTTACTCCTAAAAGGCACAAAGAAACATTCTTGTCCGTGAAAGAGCTGTGAAGACTTCTCCTCACAAAGTGGATGTTTTATTTTATCGTGTTGAAAACGTGACCGGGTAACTGAAAGACTGTTGGAGAAAAAAATTTTTTGCCGAAGGAAGCGTTTATAGAAATTAATCGTTGACGAGTCTGTCTTGGACCAGAAGAAGCTGCAGATAGAGAGTGAAAGAGAGGGAGAGAGAGAAAGAGAGAGAGTCATGGGGAGCAGGAGCGTTGGCGCAGTGCACTCCGCGCGCTGCTACCTCGTGCTTATCCTGCAGCTGCTGACTCAGCTCCCGCGCGCCAATTCAGTGCTGCGCTACCGCGTGGCCTGCCACCCGCTAGCGGGGCTCGGACTGTAGTCCGCACAGTCACAGCCTCCGATGGTGACACAGGGTCTAATGCCGATCTCCGCTACGCTCTGGTAGGCGGAAACCCTTTTCGTCTGTTTGAGATTGGCTCTAGTAGTGGGGTCATAACCTTGGCAGAGCCCCTAGAGAGAAGACACAGGGGTCTGCACCGCTTAGTGGTCCGGGTCAATGACAGTGGCATGCCTTCCCTTTGTGCCACAGCACTGGTGCATGTCTTCATCAATGAGAGCTTGGCCAATGCTACGCTGGTGGATACACAGGTGAGACACATCAGAGCAGCATGCTGTTAGAATAAATGCAAACCAAAGGTAATTCAATATAGAAAAAGAATAACAGTATGTGCTGTTGAACAATAAGCCAGTGTAGAATGTAACCAAACAGGAACAATTAATGTGAAAAGGATTGAAACTGAATGGAGTCATTTTATTTGACAAAGAAGTGAACTGCAGTCAGAAACTTATGGATAACTTTGGACAACTAGGAAATCCTAGCACGAAATAGCACTTTTTAAAAAAATATTGCTGTTTATAAATATTCATGCATCATATTGCTGTTGACCCACATTGGATATTGGATAGAAGGAAGCACATGCAGATACAAAGATGAAAGATACACAAACACACTTGCATACACATACACAGTCACACTTGCCTGCACAGAATAACTATGATTGAATATCCAAGCCTTGACATGATAATTGAGAAATCTGGGCCTTGCAGTGGGGATGAATGTGTATGTGTGTGTGTGTGGTTCAGCAGACAGAGCTGTAAAATGAGGATGCAATTTTTAAAGGGCAGACACACCATTTATGACTTTCTATTTTTGCTCTCCCTCTCTATGTATTTCTCTCTCCCTCTCATTCAGGTGGCCCGCAGCCTTGCAGTCCCCCTCTATATGGATATTGCAGGTGACCCAGACAGTGAGAGAGCTTTGGGTAAACAACGCCTGAGCGTTGCCATCGGTGTCCTGGCTGGTGCTGCCGCCGTTATTCTGGTGATCCTTCTGGTTGTGACAGCTCGACAGTGTGGGGCACAGGGTAAGAACGGCTATGAGGCTGGGAAGAAGGAGCCAGAAGAGGACTTTTTCAGTCCACAGCCTCCCCCTCTACAAGCCCAGGGCTCCCAAAATGAACGTGGGCGCAAACCACGCAGAGACAAGCGTAATAACGGTACTGCCAAATCTGAGCGTTCTTTATACAGTGGAATTATGACGGTGAATGGTTGCAGACATGGGGGAGGTGATGAAGAAGAGGAGGATGAAGAGGCCAGCAGTGCCAGCGAGAGGATTGCAGCACGTTATTGTGCAGCAGCTAACGGAGACACCAGCAGTCCAAGACTTGGCTCGAGACATCACCAGTCAAGCCCAGATTTGGCCCGCCACTACAAGTCCAGCTCACCTTTGCCTGCAGTGCACCTTCAGCCCAACTCACCACCCGTGGAAGGCAAGAAGCACCAGGCTGTGCAGGAACTGCCCCCCACTAACACCTTCACTGGCAATGGCAACGGTAATGCAGACGCCATGTCACTCAGCTCAGACCAATGCTCCGATTACGGCTGCCAAACTGTCAAGTACAGCAAACAGGTAAGAAAATAAAGATCTATGACTCCGTTTCACCACTGCACCTTCAACAAGTATATGCAGGCCATGTTCATGAAGTGCCTTAGAATTACTAGTTCTGAATTTTGGCTAGCAGGGAGTAACATTTACCAAAAATGTTACAAGTCTTGTCAGGACAAAAGCCTCAAGCTTGATCTAGATTTGGATCCCAAAACTAACCTGAATCCAGTCAGTCCTGTGGGATATTCCTGTATTAATATAGAAAACGCTGATAGCCATTGGATTACCCCACACATTTTCTTTGACTATGTTGTAATTAGATTTTCTAAGAAAAATATGTTATATATGGAAGCCAGTTTCCAACTCATTGTAAAAAAAAAAAGGCATCAGGTAATGTTTAAGATAAGAAATAAATTTAAGCTGTGAGATATAGTCACACTGTGAGACAAAAATCACTGTGGAATACAGTCACATTGTAGGACATTTTCTGCCAAGTCACATTGTGAAATACAGTCACATTTCTAGCATATAAAATTGCAATTGTGAGATTAAAAAGTTCCAGCTATGAGATATAAAGCCACATTGTGAGGTGTAGTCAAACAGTGAGATATAAATTTGCAATTGGAAGATATAAATGCACAGCAGGAAGACTGAAATTACAAGAAGTAATAATTGTGAGAAACGTCACAATTATATTTTACAGACGGAAACAGGCTTCGCAGGCTGGCTTAGTTAACAGGCTTTGTTAAATCCCATCCCATCAAAAACTAAGGAAAAAGCAAAACTAGTTGTAGACAAGTACAAATGTTTCAACTTCTGCATTCAGCCTGTACTGTTGTTGTGTTACTGCGCGTTGAGTGGTTAAGGTTATATGGTGCTAACTGCCTGCTCTCCTTTCCAGGAGTTGCTACTGAAAATAGACTGTCAAAGAGAGGAGAAATGTAACCCATTTTCTCTCACACCACTATAGATCTCTTCCCACTTGCTCAGTCTCTCTCCTTCTCTCCTTCTGTCTTGCTTTCTATCATTCTCTCCATCATACTCCCCTTATGTTCCTGTCTTTGACATTCTTTCCACTCCTTTCCTCGTTCTTTAATTTTCTGAGACATGTTTGGAAGTGTTAAATATAGAGCAGAATATATGTCTACCTGCTTTGAGTGGAACTGGCCAGTGTGTTTGACAGCATAGGCATGAAACGCTTGAGAGAGAAACCTCGTAGGCTTGCAGAGTTGTCTTTTTTGACTTAATCTGTCATCTTTACACTTTTATCCAGGTCATATATTTAATGCAGCATATCCAAACTGCTAGCTTAGCACTTAACGGAAGCATTAAAAAAAGATTACCTGTGCACTCTTTGACAGGTGCTTTGGACTAAGCCCGAACCAAAGGGTGGCCGCGTACTATAGAGAGACATGGTTAAATTGAACACTGGGATCGCATTACATTTTCTGACAGGTGTTGGGAGCTTAAACCAAATCCGCCGAGGTCTACACGCGAGATATCGAGGCCTAAATGACATGTCATTTTTGGTCTTTTTAGCATGACTGACAGTCGGATTGTAAGTCTCTTTCCCCAAAGCCTAAAAAACAGCTGATGCAGTCGTTAGGGAGATGTACGCTTTGCAAGACCTAATCAATCCATCCACGCTGGTGTGATCCTGACCGCAGTGGGAGGGTTAATCCAATACCGAGTCAATCCTCTTAATCTGCTGACATTTTTTTCCACTGAAAATTATTAATAGAGAATTTGGTTGTGTATTTGTGTGCTTCTGTGTGCGTTCATACTTGGCCAAGAGTTTGGTGTGAGAGTGCGTTAATGCTTACTGGTGAGTTTGTTGGACTATTTCTGACGGTTTAATCAATTATTGATCACACTGTAATTAACTCCTCTACCACAGAGCTTTGTGACCTAGCCTAACTCGAGCTTGGTGTAGATGGTATGTGTATGTGTGTGGGACGGTATAGCGTGATGGCAAGCCAATACCCTACCGCTGTCTGAATTTGCAAACAGGCCCATGTGCGGACACATGCATAAACGGCACTCTCAGAATTGAACGTCGATGAAAATGGAAATCCTGTTGACCTATATCTGTCTCTCTCTCTATCGCACATCTCTCCTATCTTCTATAAATGCACAACTCAGCATGTTCCTAAGTGAATCTCCACTTTGCTGCAGTGCACTTTTTCTATAACCCCTCCCCCTTCTGCCCACTCACGCCAACACCTATCGACCGGCTGCATTCTGTCCCCACGGCTGCCCACATTCCTATCATTTGAATAGACAGAGCGGCGATCAATATACTAGGCTTGTTAATGTTGCGAGTGCCGACACACACCTGCAGACGCCCCGCTCGCGTGTGCAGGGTTAACGGTCAGACAGGTGGGCAGTAGGTGAGTCTGTGTAACTCAACACACACACTCGGGATCAGGCAACAGGTCAGATGGATAGTCGATATACTTGACACTCACACTTGCATGCTTACGGGGGCCATGTGTATGCTAGTGAGGACCGACTCCAGTGATAGATATTATAAATTAATGGAGGAGACTAGTGATGGAGGGCCCAGGAGACAGTGGGAGACATATGGAGGGATATATAAAGAGAGAGAGAAAGAGAGAAATGAGGGGAGATTGCTAATGCTCACCTCACTTTTGCAGGGCTGTATTGATTTTCATTAGGAAAGCATTATGAAAGCTTTTACATGGACGTGTACTGCAATGGTTAGAAAGGATTAAGAATGATGGTGGAAGTAAGTGTGTGTGCACGCATGTGTGTTTGACCCATCAATGTTATTGAGGGGGAAATTGCTGAAAAAATGTCTAGAAGTTTTTGCTAAATCTGAAGAGGTAAAAAAAATCAAATTTTGGAGACATCCTTAAAATGAAAAATGGTTCATTAGGAGATTAAATAATGTTTTCATTCACCTCTAAAAATAGCAAACTTTATTTTAGGGACAGAGTTTTAGAATGGAGAATAATAATAATAATAATAATTTAAGACCAATTTATGGCTATTAGAATTCCCCATTTAGTTACACATGCAAAAATTAGATTCTCTCTCTGTTTCTGCATCATGTTTTCTGATTGCCTTTCTGATCACATTATATGTCAGCTGCTCAATTAAGAGTCATTTAGTGCCAATGCAAGTACACTTGCAGTAAATAACCTCAGTACTGTGTACTTCCCATTAAATTGCGTTGGACATCTGTGAAACGCAAGGCAAAAAAAATTACAGAGGATGCTTTTCTTTGGCCAAGTAATGAAAAACATAATGAAAAATGAGAGATTAATAATTTATAGATGACACATTAGGTTAGTAACACTGATGGCCATGACCAGATGGAAGGTTCTCATGTGACCGCCATCCATATCTTTGCAACAACAGCCATTAGTGCAAGGTTGATTTGTTGTTTATCCATATATTCCTTAAGTGAAATTGAATTATAATTGAGAATGGACAAGATGTGTAAATAGTGCATATGTGTAAACCAGCCATGTAAACACAATCTCATATGTTCTTTGTTATATTTCCAAGGTTCCAAATATGGAGACACTTTTTGATTTATTGTAAAGTTGTTCATGCAGATACCTGAAAGTGAGCGTGAGTTGCTGGTCGCAACCCATTTTACTTGCATAATGTGACACATTTTCAATTGAAACAAGATATTCAGCGAGAAACAATGTAAAGGGGAATCAACTGGGTCTTGAAAAGTGTGTATTTTATACCAGAACACAGTCAGACTCAATGCAGATTTGCTAAAATAATGCATAAAATCCTGTTTGACTATTGGTTAACATTATTCAATAGTCTCCTTATTGATGTCAGCATAAAAATTTTTTTTTTTTTTTTGAATAACGTACATCAATGAATCATTCAATCTATATAATCAACCACAAATGTGTATTTAGAAAGCAAATAGCGTCATTTGGGATATTATGTTGACTTTTAGTCATTTTTATACTAAATGAAGCTTTATGGACTATATAAATAAAGCTTTACAATCAGTTTACCTCCGACATTCGTGCTGTTTTTCATTTCAGACCTAACTGTAATTCTGGAGTAAAAAGGAAAAGTGCATTTCATTCAAGTAGGTCATATGGAAAGAAATGCTGGCAAAACACAATTTTATTAAAATATCTTCCTTCAGTGTCCATTTATGCTTTGTTTGCCACATTGTATAAATCTGAAACGAGTCAGAGAGTCAAGGCTGTCAGAGTTTTGTAACGCACAGACCTGCTCGCCTGACTGTTTCAACCTCAAAATGAGTCATGACAGGAATTCAGGGTATTCCTTACCCATATACTCCCAGACAAGCAGCAACAGAACCAAGAAAACACACACTCACACACACACACACAGAGATGCACTGAGACGCACACTCATTTTGCACTGAAATGCAAAGGTGCATGAGGAGATAAAAAGTTCCCATCCTCTTAAATCAGTTTCTAGCACAAGATCTAGGCCATAACTTTTAACCGTTTCTTCCTCTGTGTCCAGACTGGGAATTAGTTTTTTTCTTTGAATGTAATCATTATTTCATCATATTAAAGGGGTCATATGATGCTGCTAAAAATAACATTATTTTGTGTATTTGGTGTAATGAAATGTGTTAATGCGGTTTAAGGTAAAAAAAACACATTCTTTCCCACATACTGTACATTATTCTTTCTCCTCTATGCCCGCCTTTCTGAAACGCGTTGATTTTTACAAAGCTCATCGGTCTCAAAAGCGAGGTGTGCTCTGATTGGCCAGCTATCCAGTGCATTGTGATTGGCTGAATACCTCAAGCGTGTGACGTAAATGTTACGTCCCTCACATACTGTTGATGCCGTGTCCGGCCAGAGCGACGAGACAAAACCAGTAAAACCCATTATAAATGAGGCATTTGTTGCATCCAGTGGGGACATAATTACGGATTATAATGACTTATACTGTTTTTTTACGCGTTGCGTTGCATCGCGCCGCGTAAACATAAAACCATGTCTGCATTTGTGATCAGAGAAATGACAAACAACAAGTGCTAC